AATTGTTTAGAAAAATTTTAATACAATTTTTAAAAATAGTGGAACCTGTCAGAGAAATTTTATTAAAATTATCTTGAATATAATTGAATTTTTCTCCAGGAATTTAATTAAGATTGCATTGAAAATAATTCAATTATTTAAAAACAATTTTAATAAAATTGCACGCAAACATTTAATTATTTTCATAAATAATAAAAATTTTGCCAGGAATTTAAATATTTACAAATTCTTAATAAATTTCTTTTCAATAATTCAATTATTTTCATAAATAATAAAACTCATCGCAGAATTTCAATTATTTTTAATACTATAAACAAATTCCTTGAAAAATGTAACTATTCTAAAAAATTTTACTAAAATTCATCAAAAGAATTCAATTATTTAAAAATTTGTTAATAAAATACTTTATAAGAATTAGAATTTAAAAAACATTCAATTATTTAATAAATAATTTACTTTTGTTTTTAAATAATTGAATTCTCGTAGAATTTTCTAATAAAAATTGATTTGAAAATGAATTTTAGTTTAAATTTTAGATAATGATAGAATATGAAAATAAATTTGAAGAAGTTACAGTAACAATATTCTTATAAAATTATAAAATAATGATATTAACACTCGAATTTCAAATTGAAAATTTTAATTTCTATGGAAAAAAAATAATAATTAAATATTTAAAATATTCAAAAAAGAAATTACTGTTTTCGAATAATTTTACAATTAAAAATATTCGTAAATAAATTTAACATAACATTTTTTTAAATAAAATTTTTTCCTTTATTTTCCAAAAATTCAAAAATTTTCAGTTTCATTTTCAATTAAATTTTCTAATTGACAAACATAATTTATAAACATTTGTTTCCTATGTATTTTTAAAAAACTGAATTTTTTTAAAACAATTGAAATTAAGAAATAGAATTGATGCAAATTATTTCCTTATGAAAATTGAGAATTTTCTACAAAAATATTAAGAAACAGGAATATCTTATGTTTTTCTTTACAAAAGAAAAAAATGAGTTTGTAAACAATATTTTTATTGAGAAATAAAAATTATGCATAAAATGGGTATATTTCCTACTGTTTAATAAAAAATTTTTAACAATTAACAATTTTCTAGTATTTTTTATAAATAAAAAGGAGAATAATTATAATTTAGATCAGTCAAACGAAATTTGTTATAGAAAAAAGCATATAATAACAAACAAAATGGGTATATTTTTTATTTGTTAATCATAATTATTATTAATAATTATTTTTAATTTTTTTTTTGTTATCACCACTTGTTTTACTATTACGACAATAATTACAATATTACAAATAGGTATTTTCTTTTAATATTTTTACTATTGTTATTATTCAAGCTACCTTAGAATCACAACCCTCAGCGACTAAAAAGTAATTTAAAAAAAATTTTTTTTTTCTCAAAGTCATTAAAACGAAAAAATTGTCTATATACAGAGTAGGCGTTTGTGAAGAATATTGTCGGGGCTCCGTCTTTAATTTTTTTTTTTTTTTTTTTTATTCCTGTCATTGTTCTTTGATATTCCTGGAAGAGTTATTCGTTTCCTCGCATATTTACCTATATGTGCCGTGTGTGTACATTGTCAGTGCGTGTGAAGTGCGTCACGTAGGAGAAATGCAGTTAGACGTCCCACACGACACACACGAGGCAGACATGAACCCACAAGAATATTCTGTCATTACGAACAATGGCTTTTCCATGAATATGACACTCGAGTGTTGTTACGATGTCTACAACTTTATGGAAATAGTCAAGAAAAGTCTGACAAATTTTCCTGTTTCAATTTATTTTATTTACTATTTTTTTTATTTTATTTACTATTTTTTTATTTTATTTACTATTTGTTTATTTTCTTTATTAATTTTGTTTATTTATTTTGTTTACTATTTGCTTATTTTATTAACTATTTGTTTATTTTGTTTACCATTTGTTTATTTTGTTTACTATTTGTTTATTTTATTAATTATCACTTATTACTTCAAATTTGATTAATTCAAACGAAAAATAACTATAAAGACGCTCAGTGTCTATAGGAGGGGAGAGAAACGCAGCGATTGGCCCTCCCCCCACCACAGTCACTACACACTGCGCGCGCACTCGAATTCGAAAGAAACAACGCTAAAACCTTCCAATAAAAACTCTAAACCCTAAAACATAATTCATCCCACAGATAAATTTCTTTCTCTACCTGAAAAATTCGATTTCCTCTCCCAAATTTCTACCTACAAAAAAAAAATATTTCAAAACACCAACTAAACAAGGAAATCAATCGTGTTATCTAATAATTATGACAGCGAGGTCTAGTTCATCGCATTAATTCAGAGGAGGGATCGGATTTATTTTATACAATAAGAGGGCGGCATTATAACCTTTCTTTATAATAACAAAACTAGGTCACCTTGCCAGGAGGTTTTGCAATATATCGGATCTAACGAAACTGAAACCGATGCAGCACGACAACACGTGGCTTGAAAATCCGGTTTCAGAAAAAAGAAGCAAAAAAAAAAAAAAAGAAAAAAAATGCAGTCTCAGGGTTGTCTCCAAACTTCCAGGAATCATTCGTTTATAACCATTTACGATTTTAAACGACGAGGTCTGCAATAATTTTTAACACACCAAAAAGAAAGGAGGAGGAGGAGGAGGAGCGCCTCTACCATCCTGAATCTTTTTTTCTTTTTCGCCGCACACAACCCTTCCAACTAATGGACAAGACAACTTAAACTTTAATGATTTAATAAATTATGAAACTACTTAATATTTATCATTTCCGAAAAATTTAGCCAAAAACTTTTTTTCTTCTAATTTTTACTGATAAAACAAATACCTATCTAAGAGTACAGAAAATGTTTTAACTTTCTTATAAATTATTCCTTTTCGTATGCAAAGAAATAAATGATTTCTTTTTATATATGCAAAGAAATAAATTATTTCTTTTCATATGCCAAGAAATAAATATTTCCTTTTCATAAAAATGCAAAGAAATAAATGTTTCCATTATACATATAAAATCAAATTCAAAATTTTGAACTTTATAACTTTAATCGAAATTTTTTTTTTTTTTTTTTCTTGTTCAAAATTTTTAAAGAGAACAATGTCAATAAATACAGCAGTTTATTTACCTTTAGAATTTAAAATGAAGATAAAAAATATATGGGAATTATAGTTCCATTTAAGGTAAATCGTGTTCTACTTGTCAAAACCCTACGTGAGAATAAGCTGAACCGTTTATTTCAAACGTGTCTATATTTCTTGTTAACATTCTTCGCAGACTTTTAGAAAACTAGTTCGTGGGCACCAGGAAATTTTATACATCAGGTTAAACAAGCATTTCAATTATGCAATTTCTTAAATAAAATAATCGACATAAAATTGTCATAACTTCTGGTCAAATTTTTTTCTTTTTTCCCTCAATTTTTCTTTTTTTCATTATGTACAACCGCACTTTTCTTTTTCAAATTACATTTCTCTATTATATATTAAAATTATCCAGTCAAAATTTCATTTATTTCATCATATTTCCATGGCACTCATATTTAATTTATTAAATTTTATAATAATAAAAAAAATGATACTATTTTTAACAACAATAACAACAACAACAATAATAATAATAATAATAATAAGATTTGGTGTTATTTATTATAGTAATTATTATATAATGATTATAAGGCTTTTATTAATTATCATATGACAATAACAATTAATTATATTTATGATAGTAATTAATTATTATTTTTATTTATTAATTATATATCATTAAAATTTTACTAAATATATTTTTTCAACTTTTTTAATTACGTAAATAATTTTAATTATTTTACCAGTAAATAATAGTAATTATTTTCTATTTTTTAATAGTAATTTTTTTTTAATTTTAATTTCTTTTTTATAACTAAAGAAAACAAAGTATCTAAATAATTAGACATTTTTTTATAATAACCTATTGATTGTTATGTAAAAAACAATGAGTGCATTTAAATATTATCGTTATAGATAAATAAACACAAACAACTAAAAATAAACAAATGAATACAAACTGATAAAAATAAAAAAAATAAATAAAAACAGATAAAAATAAATAAATACAAACAGATGAAAATAAACAAATAAATACAAGCAGATAAAAATAAACAAATAATTAAAAAAATATTTTCCTTTGAATTATACGATTACGATGCCAGAAAAGAAGACAAATAATATAACTAATTAATAATTCTACAGGTAATTTACATAAAAAACCCCCCACACATTTTTCACATTAAATCTGTCAACATTTTAAAGGAAATGTGTAAAAGTTAAAATTACCCACGTTTATTGGAGAAAATAGAATTCTGAAATAATAATGAATCATTTCGTCACCTTCTTCAAAGCGATCTTATGTTACTTAATGTTTATTGCACAATAATAAAACATTGTACAAGAGAAAATTTTTTTTTCCTTTATAACAAATTTTTTTTTCTATATCGTTCACGTTGATATTTCCTTCGTGGGCATTTGATAAACTCAAGGACAATTAAATTGATTCAAAAGTCAATGACCTGGGAATTATTTCTCATACAAAAATATTTTCAATCAAAAAAAGTATGAGAATTACTTGCGAATTTTAATTTTTCAATTTAATTTAATTTCTAAATACAAATTTAATTGAAAATAAAACTGTAGTTCAATTAAACTTTATAAATAAAGTAATTTTTTTGTTATACATTTTTCGAGGAATTCGATTAAAATTATTGTATTAATAACAAAAATAATTTTTGTTTTTTATTTTTTCATAAATTAATAAATTTCCTGTTCATAAATTTTCCATAAATTAATAAATATAACAAAAAACAAATAAATTTATATATTTATTTTATCTATAATTCCTTTGTTTTCTAATATTTACTTATCTTTATGTTTTTTCTGTTGATAATAACTTGTTTCGAAATATAAATAAAGCTCAAGGTTAGAATTATTAAAATGTGAGTATAAAAAGGGAAAAATTGTTTTTCTTTTACCAATATTCTGCAAAGTTTTAAATTAAACAGAACGAAAATGAAACTTTATTCAACACTTCTCGTGGCAACAATTTTAATTGTTTGTTGGGCAACTGTCGGAGAAGCCCGTCTTGTCGGTCTAATAAGTAAGAAAAAACATCTTTTCTTCTTTTTTTAATTATAAAATTAATAATTTTCGTTTTCGTATAAGAATTTTAAAAAAAAATAATTTTTTTGGTATAATTAAAAAAATTTATAAAAGAAAAAAATTCCACAAGTTTCTTCTTTTAACAAATCAAATTTAATGAAAATATAAAAATTTCCTCTACATTTTTCACGAATAAGCAAACAATTTTTTTCAGACAGAAATAAACGTGAAAAGCCAAGATAAAAAGTAATGCAAACAAATATTTTTCAAATTAAAAAAACGTAATAAATAAAATGATAATTTAAATTTAATTTAAATTTAATTAATTTTTAATAAAATGATAATTGAATTAAATTACTATTATAATTAAAACTATTAAATTCATTGAATTTTAATTTAAAATTTTATGACTTTCTTCTTTTCTGCAAAAAAAAAACTATCAAAATGATTTATTCACAAATAAATCAGAAAAAGTTAATAGAACAAAAAATTAAGTCAAATAAAGTTTGTACTAAGATAAAAAAAAATTTTAAAAAAAATTTAAAAAAAAAAAAAAAAAAAAAAAAAAAAATTTAAAATTTAAAAATTTTCTATTTCAGATAGGAACAAGCGTGAAGGGCCAGCATAAAAAGTAATGCAAACAAATATTTCAAATTCTAAAAAAAAATCTAATTCTTGTAAAATGAAAACAAAATAAATTGAATATTGAATAAAATTATTCTTAACTGATAATCTAATTGATTAAATTTTAATTTTAAAAGATGAAACTTTTTTCTTTTCTTAAAAAAAAACCTGTCAAAAATTTGTAAATACAAATAAATTAGAAAAAGTTTGTAAAAAAAATAGAGTTTGTACTAATATAAAAAATTTACTATTTCAGATAGGCACAAACGTGCTGCGCCGTATAAAAATTAATTCATTCAAGTAATTCGAATCCTAAAGAAGAATTTAATTTTTGTAAGATGAAAACAAAATAAATAAAATCTGAATATTAATTGAGTCTCATTTTAAAAATTAAAAAAAAATTTTTTTTTTCTTAATTTTTTAATTATGAAACAAAAAAAATTCGGTCAATCTTATTGAAAGATTTAATTTTCCTCACGATGATAATGAAAAAATTTCTTTCCGCCCAATTTGAACTACTTTCCCTACTTAAATATTAATTTATCAAATCAATTTACATTTTCTTTGCATGATTTATAAGTTTTATGAAATTCTTTGAAATTCTTTAGTCATTCTAGTTCAAGATATACTCTCTTTAATGAAAAGAAAGTATAATGAATTTATCAATATTGCGTCAAAGTAAAAATTTATTATTGTAATGTTAAGGCTTTAAATGAAATAAATTCTTCCATTTACGGTGCATCTATTTCAAAATCAAAGGGAGATTAATTTCCAAAATGAAACTTTTTATTACTATAGCTTAATAAGGTCAAAATTTCTTTTCAATATAATAATTAAATTCAGTAGGATTTTTATTACCATATTTATTAACTTATTATTTATTTTTATTAACTTATTTCCTAAACGAAATAAACGTCATTTTGTGAAAAAAGGGAATAAAGTGATTTTTACTATACTGTCATTGTAAAATCTAAACTTTCCGAAATTTCTGTCTCGTTCGGCAGAAAATACGACAAATTTCGTAAATTCTAAAATTTAATTCGAAAACAGTAAAAATTATATAACGAAAGTTTTAACCAAAGAAAAAATAAAAAATTCAAAAGCTATGAAATTTAAATTTTAGAGACTATTTTCTTAAATCAACTTTCACTCGGAAAGCTTTAACTTTCGAATTTTTAATCAATAAACTATATAAAAACGAAGAAATTAAAAAATTTAGCTGTAACTTTAAAATATAAAATATTTAACTTTTATTTTCATTTATTTTAACTTAAAACCTTATATCAAGATTATTTATTATTCCTTCCATTTTAACAACGAATTTATTTTTTACTAATAGAAATAAAATTTTTCAAAAACTAACTCAAAATATTTTCCGAAAAAAAAAAAAATTTTTGAAACGAGATTGTTTCATCTGAATGGAAATTTTAATGATTATCTCTCAATTAATGTTTATAAAATTGCCGTGTATATACTGGAAGATACATTACAATCTTATGCAAGAAACTTCATATATATATGCGTATTTGTCGCATAACACACTCGCTTTGGCATTCACTTTAAGGTTAAACTCCTGTGACATTTTGGATGACTTTCACCCGAGAGCCTGCTTTCTTCGTTGTGTTTTCGTTTCGATTTCATTCGACACGAGAGTGAGCAGGGTGCGGTCTTTAGCACTTATTATTGCATTTATTAGACTATATTTATATATCTATATACACTGGTGAACAAATAAACGAAGCTACTCTATTTTTACGATTCAAAAACAATGACTACAATTATTATTATTATTATTATTATTATTATTATTATTATTATTATTATTATTATTATTATTATTATCATTATTATTATTCTTACTATCCAATTCTTTGCAGAGTATGCGATTATTGACCGTGACATAAATTATCCCCAAAGAATAATTTCCGAAACAAAAGGAAAAAAATTAAACATTTGTTTTCGATTAAACGAAAATTGTATTTTTGACTTTTGAGAAGAATAATATTTATAATCAGGAAGAATTCAGTAATTTTCATTTAGATAATCAACCAAAATAAAATTTTTTTTTTATTAATTCTTATTTTATTAACTTATTTTTATTATTAGTTAACAACACTATTATTTCATTGAATGTATTTTAATTATAATTGAAAATAAATATTTTAGTAAATTTTTATTTTATTAATTATCGTTATTATTATTTAAACAACATTATTATTTCATTAAATGTATTTTAATTACCAGCAGCAACAATTCGTGCGCTAAAGCGCGCGGCTAACTTCTTACTACCTTTTTTTAAAATAAAATTAGCAATTTTAAAAATAGAATTTCAAAATTTTCTAATTTAAATTTTTGTTGAAAACAATAAACAAAATTCAATTTTGGAAAAATTACAAATGCAGAAATTCAATTATTTTCAAAAAAAAAAAAAAATTCTTATAAAATTCAACTATGTTCAAAATTTACAAAAAATTCTTGTAATTATCCCAATTATCTTTATAAATAACAAAATTCTTCTCCAAAGTTCAATTATTTTCATAAAAAAAAAAAAAATGTCAAAAAAAATTCTTGTCTTAATTTCAATTATTTTCAAAAATAAAATGCTATTTTATAATTTCAATGATTTTCAATATCTACTATTTTAATAAAATTTCACAAAAAGAATTCAATTATTAAAAAAAAATTTTTAATAGAATTTTATGCAAACATTTAATTATTTTTAAAAATAATAAAAATTTCACAGGAATTCAATTATTTTCCAAAATAATAATTTTTTTTAAGCAATTCAATTATTATTTTTATGAAAAATAATTTAAAATTCTCGAAAATAATTGAGAAGAATTTAAGAAAAATCTTTTTAAAGAAATGATTTTTTGCAAAAAATTTTATGAATAGTGTGTTTTAAATAATTAAATTTCTTTGAAAATTGTATATTATTTTAAGAATAGTTGCATTTTTCGCGGAATTCTTATAAAATTGTATTAAAAATAATTGAATTTCTGCGATGAATTTTCTTATTTATGAAAAAAATTGAATTTTTGTAAAGAATTTTAGTAGGATTTTTAAAAAAATAATTCAATTCCCCAGAAGAATTTTATTATTTTTAAAAATAATTGCGTTTAAGCGGAATTAATTTAAAATTATATTAAAAATAATTGAATTTTTGTCACCGAACTTTAATAAAGTGATCAAAATAATTGCATTCTTGAGAAGAATTTAAAAAAAATCTTTGGAAAAAAATGATTTTTTGCAAAAAATTTTATAAAAATTGTGTTTTAAATAATTTAATTACTTTGAAAATTGTATATTATTTATGAAAAGAATTAAATTCTTTCAAAAAATTTTATTAAAATTATATTGAAAACAATTCAATTATTATAAAGAATTTAAAATTTTTACAAATAATTGAATATTCTTTCAAAGAATTTTATTAAAATTTTTAAGAACAGTTGCATTTTTTTCGAAATTTATTTAAAATTGTATTAAAAATAATTGAATTCCTGCGATGAATTTTATTATTTATAAAAATAATTAAATTTTTTCAAAGAATTTTATTATTTTTAAAAATAATTGAAATCTTGTGAAATTTATTAATTTTTTTTAAATAATTGAAATCTTGCGAAGAATTTTATAAAAATTTCTGAAAATAATTGAATTTCTGCGAATAATTTTACTATCCGTTAAGATAATTGAATTTTTCTGAACAATTTTACTAAAATTTTTAAAAAATAATTAAATTCCTCAGAAGAATTTTATTATTTTTAAAAATAATTAAATTCTTGGGAAGTTTATTAATTTTTTTTTAAATAATTGAATTCTTTTATAAAAATTTTATAAAAATTTCTTAAAATAATTGAATTTCTGCGAATAATTTTACAATACGTTAAGTTTATTAAAATTTTTTAAAATAATTGAATTCCTGAGAAGAATTTTTTTATTTATGAAAATAATTGAATGTTTGCAAAGAATTTTATAAACAATTTTTTTTTTCAATTATTCAATTCTTTTGTGAAATTTTTTATTGAAATAGTAGATATTAAAAATCATTGAATTACGAAAAATATGTGAAAATAATTGAATCGTTTTAACGAATTTTATTAAAAATTTTTGTATTTTTTCCAATATCTTTATTAAAATCTTTTTAATGACTTTTTGTAGCTACGATAATTAATAAGTATGGAATTTAAAAAACAAAAAAAAATTATATTCCATTTTAAACAACTTTAATTTTGATTAATTGTTTAATTAACTAAACTAAATAATTAAAAGATAAAAAATATATAAATAATAAAAAGTAAGAACAATAAATAAAATAAACAAAAAAAATAAGAAAAAGTAAAACTAATAAACAAAAAAAATAATTTTACTAATAATTATCATTTCGAAAATAAAGAAGCGAACGAAAAACAAAAATTTTTCGAAATTTGGAACTCTCAAAGAAATCCAAACTATCCGTATATATAATTTTATATATATACAAATACAAAAGTTATACATTTTAATGCGTTAACTTTCCCCCGAGAAATTTGATACTTTCTCGCATTTGCAGCAAGACTGGACCAATAAGACAAACGCCAGATATCTAATTCCTGTCATAAAATTGATAATTAATCAATTTTTTAATTACATCCCTAAAGAAAAATAATTTCTCCTTTCATCAACAATGTAGAAATATTTTTCTCTTTCTAAACACAAAAATAAAAGGAAAAAAATTATTGCCAATGACAATAATTAGAGAAGAAGAAAAAAAAATTTTCAATTAAATTACAAACGGGAAAGAGATAAGAAAAAATTTGTGGCATTTGAGAAAAGTTGGTTGTACCTGAATTTATAATTATGTGGGAAGGAAAGAGATGAGAGGACTCATGGACCGGAATGCGGCATCAGCATCCAAGGAGAACCACTTTGGTACTGCACCCTAGAAATTCGCGTTCTCGCACTTCTATTCGACACGAAATGTTCGCGTGCACTCTCCGCGGGTGTGTTTGTTCATATGTAAATTTTTCACACAATTATAGTTACTGTAGATAAATTTATTCAAATCAAAAACTATAAATAAACTTGTTTAACAAACAAAAAGTTGGAAATTATTAAAATAAATTTAGACTAATGGTAAAAAAACAGGGAATTAGATTTTTCCTCTCAATGGGATTCTATAAAAAAAATCGATCAGTCGTAGAGTTGAAATTTGTTTCAAATAGAGTAAATTTTCACTCCGGTAACTTTAACTCCTTGTTTACATTGCAATTGTGAAATAATTCACTAGGAAGTTAAAAATTAAATCTTCTTTCACTCTAGATTTTTTTATTTTCCTTGATAATTAACTCCAGAAACTACTCCGGATGTAATTAATTACTGAAACTTTATACAG